CAAATCCCCTTTCATATCCCAAATCAGCCTCTACTGATTGCAATCTTATGGTTATTCAAAAATTAAATTTGGTGGGCCCTCTTTAAAATAAGTAAGGAGCAATTTATTTTCTGTTAAACAAGAAATACATGACTATATTTTTAATGTATAAAAATGAAATAACAGGTATAGTGAAAATTCTCTTCATGCCCTAATCCCTCACCCCTGAGGAGCACTACTCTGAGTTTGGTATATATCCTTCCAGACCCTTCCCCATGCATTTGCCTACATATATATGCACATAGCAAAATAGGTTTGTTGTGCAGTTTTATTTATTTATTTTTTTTTACATACATGTCAACATCCTACAACTTGATTCTTTCACTTCATGGTATGTCTTAGTTTTTTTTTCCTTCCTTGTACTTAGAGTGGTTACAGAGTCCCCACCAAGAAGAAGGCCCTCACCAGATGTGGCTCCTGGAACTTGGGCTTCCCAGCATCCAAACTAGCTCAGAAGAAGAAGAATCTTGCCATGCAAGGCAGCATGTGCAGAAGAGGGCCAGGCTCCAGCCCACACACCTGCCTTTCAAATCCATCCAAGGCTCCACACCCACAGACCACCTGCCATGCTTACTCTGGAGATGCATAGCTTATGAGTGATTTATGTTGGAATCTGACAGAACCAAGTGATCCTTGGCCAGTCTACTCTAAACAGGGTGGCATATATGGAGGAGGTTGTTGGAGAGACAGTTTCCTATCTAGGGTCCTAGAAGAGAAGTGCTGCAGTAGCCAACTCCCAGGTTCTCTGCAAGGGGTTGGGTGATGCATTCAGATGGCAATATTGTTGTCTAACTGTAGGTAAGACCCTTGATTTATCTGAGCCCTGCTTTCATCCCCTGTAACACTGGTATGATAATATCCATCTTGTGGGACTGTTAAAAGGCTAGTAGTAATACCTAAAAGTATCTTCTCAGTGCCTGGTACATAGTAGGTACCCAACTGTTATCGATTGAATTGTTCCCCACCCCCAAATTTGTATGTTGAAGTCCTAACCCCCAGGACCTCAGAATGCAACTTATTTAGAAATTGGATTGTTGTAGATATAATTAGTTAAGATGATGTCATATCAGAACAGGATGGACCCCTAATCTGATTGGTGTCCTTATATAAAAGGGGAAATTTGGAAACAGAGACACACACAGGGAGAACACCATGTGAAGATGAAGGCAGAGACTGAGGCAGTGCTTCTACAAGCCAAGGAAGGGCAAAGATTGCCCACAAACCCCCAGAAGCTAGGAGGGAGGCCTGGAAAAGATTGTTGCTCACAGTCCACAGAAGGAACCAACTCTGTTGACACCTTGGTCTGGGACTTATTGCCTACAGAACTGTGAGACAATAAACTGTTACAGCAGCCCTAGCAAATGAATACACCAAAAGATGGGAGCCCATCATCATCTTTGATAATCCCCATGGCTGCTCCTCTCTGCACCTTCCAGGTGGCTTCCTCCAAGGGCATCCTGCAGACAACCAGCAGCACCACTTGAAGGGATGCACAAGGAAATGAGCTGTGGGTGGAATCAATGGGTGCTGAGACCAGAGAACTGATGATTCCCCCTCCTTGTCTAAAAATCTCTGCCACCCACTGCTCAGCCTGGGCAGTGTCTACTTCATTGCTCCCTCTTCTTGTGTCCCTGTGCTCATCTGCTCTTCCTCTGTCCACATGCCCATCTGTGTCATGGGGTCTTAGAGAAGATTATTTCCAACCCCAGTAAGGTTCCTGGATCCACCAAACAAGTAGGCCTGACTTGGCAGAGCGGTCACAGATTGTGACAACTTCCTGTGCTTGGGAAGTGCTTCTGCAAACCGCCTTCTTAGCTACTGGCCATCAAAAGTGTTTCAACAGGGCACAGAGATAACTGGAGCAAGCTAGGTTCCTGTGGAACTGGGGAGGGGGTTTGTGGCCAAGCAACAAATAAGTTTAAAGGGTGGAGAACTGGCAGCAAGATGGTGGTATTCTGAGTATTTAAAATTCTATGTCTTTTTTTTTGGCAGCTGGCCAGTGTGGGGATCTGAACCCATGACCTTGGTGTTACAAGGCTGTACTCTAACCAACTGAGCTAATCAGCCAACCAGTATAAGGAAAAGGCTGCAGAGAGTGAACAGAGTCCTCAAGGGGCCAAGGGGCATAAAGAAAAGGCATTTCAAAGAAGTGAGGGATCAGAGCCTCAAGAGGGAACAGAGAGGCCAGCCATTTGTGGAGAACACTGCTAAAGAAAGGCAGCTCAGGAGACCAAACCCAAGGGAGCTGGAACAACTTCATGTGGTGCAGAGGTCCAGGAAGTTAGTGGGAATCTCATACATACAGAGCCTTTGTTCACAGGAACATAAGGCTGCAGTCTCTTCTTTCCTGAAACAGTTCTCGATGGGCAGGTCCTCTGCTTTCATCACAGCAAAATCCCTACCTAAGAAGAGAAACAGATCAAAAGACTCAACCTACACCATTTTTGCTTTAGAAGATGCAAATGCTAGAGTTAAAAATGTGAAGGCTGCTAAACCAATCTTACATTCCATAAAAACTCACCATTTTCATAAAACTTGCTCTCACGTGATCCACAAAACACCCAAAGCCAAACTGAGTCAAAGGTCAGAAAGGAAGGTTCACTCAAGAGGCTGATGTTTGCAAAGAGGCCTACATTCTCTGCAGTGAGGAGGCTTACAAATTCACCTTCACAAGGGGCTTTTTCATCTTCAGGAGACCTAAGTTCTTAGGAAAATCCTTTCCCAGAATTATTTGCTCTTTCAGAGACTTCTACAGAAAAAAACACTACTGAAGAAAACACTATTGCAAGAAATACTTCTGATAAAAATGTTTTCGTAGAAAACATACTGTACCAACAGAAACTATGTCTGAGAACACAACCCACAAGAATTCTGCTGTAGATTCTGCTGTGACTGCATTAAAGTTAATGCCAACTGCTACACGATCCAATGGAACATAATGGGAATTCCACAGCCTGGGCACTGACTTACCCTCCAAGTCCAAAGTCTTCACTTACCCATTGCTTCCATCCCCAGGGGATCAATTTGAACTTCAGCTAAACCAGCAGCTAGGATCCCTCATCTCTGTCAATGATATGAGAAAGTTCATTTCTCATGTTATCCAGACGTTAAAATGGACTGCTTTGAGCCCCATGTACAAATGGCTTGTGCCAAGCTCATCTCCAGAACAGGTCTCCCAATGAAGCTTCTCAGTGAGCAGAAAGAAGTGGAGGCATCCAAGGCAGAATGGGACACAGACCAATGGATAACTGAGAACTATATCAGTGAGAGCACAGAAGGCCTGGATGAACAGAAAGACCACAACTGCTGAAACAGGAGACCCAGAAATTTCCGTCATTTAGGATATACCATTAAAGTGCCCAAACAGGAAGACCAGAGGCTTCCAGTCCATATCCTGTCTTGGTCATGTACTTTGGCCAAGACAGTGATCTCCCACTTTGCTCATTTATAGAATAAAGCAAACCTAACACACAATATGAATTGTAGAAGAAAATGCTTAATAATAAGATTATGTAACACATTAGATTTAGTATGTTCTTTAAGAACCTGTAAGCTACTCATCTGGAAGAGTAGGGTTTTATGCTTTTGTTTTTGTTTTGTTTTTATTTTGGCAGCTGATGCCTACTGGGGTCCAAACCCTTGGTGTTAACAACATTATGCTCTAACCAACTGAGCTAACCAGCCAGCCCAAGAATGGGGTTTTAAATAGTTAGCTTTCATCCTTTTGGTGGGTTGCCAGTACAGGGATCTGAACCCTTGACCATGGTGTTATAAGCACCATGCCTTCCCAAGTGAGCTACCCAACCATCCCAGCTTTCATCTTATCTCTTTGTTTTATAAAAAACAATTGTTCTTTTTTTTTTTAAGCTCACTAAAGATGTTCCAGGATTTGGCTATAAAAACAAACTTATCTTGGCAATATCTGTGGCTGTTGTAGTGATCATTAATTCAGGTTCTGTAATATAAGCTCACTAAAGATGTTCCAGGATTTGGCTATAAAAACAAACTTATCTTGGCAATATCTGTGGCTGTTGTAGTGATCATTAATTCAGGTTCTGTAATATGTCTGTCTTTATAATAGAATCTGAACCCATAAAATGAAAATCAAAGCCACTTTCCCACCTACTACTATTTGACATTCCTCTTCAGTCACTGAGACTGAGGCATGCTTTGTTCTTTTATTGCAAAGTATATTCCACAGATCTTTAAAGGAGCCTCACTCCCAGGAGATCTCTGTGGAATTAAAACCAAAATAACAGGCCACTAGACTATTTTGAGAAGTTTAAGAAGGCCAGAGTTGATATGACAGTAAAATTTTGCAAAACTAAAAGTATGTCAGCAATTTTATGTACTCACCAATCAAGCTCATTCTACCTCTCATTTCTTTCTCTGTTTCTAAAATGACAAGAGAGTTATAATCTTAAGCCTCATGGAGCTGTCATCACCCTGGGGAGAAAGGAAGGGGCCTAAAGATGAAAGTGTTACCCTGGAGATTCATTATATTTACATAGCATCCTTCTTCTCCAGCATGTAAGGTATTGTCTAAATAGATTTAGTCAAAGCACTGCAGGTAAATCCTGCATTAGGCTACTCTAAGGCATGTCATATTTACAGGAGCCTGTTCCTGGAGCTTGCCTCTGTTTACCTGTGTTCAATTACAAAATAGCTTATTATTTTCCCAACAGGTAGGTCCTGGCATACTAAAAGAGTGATTTAAGAAGCTGACAATCTTGACTCAACCCTACCAACCCAGCCTCATTTGAGGTAAATTTACCTCATTTACCTTTTCTACCATCATTGTGGCCCTCCATTCCAGCCAAAGCAGCCCATTCCTACTTGTGTCTGTGCCTTTGCCCATTGAAAATTCCTGTGTATCACTGCCTGTGGAAGTCCTGTGAATCTTTCAACAGTCACCTTAAGTTCATCTTTCCTCACGAAGCCATCCCTGAATACTCTGGGCCTAGTCCCTTCACAAGATTTGTCATCATTTCTTGGGGTCTATAGTGAGGTATTCCCCCTCCCCTGAGAACTTAAAAATGTGGTAAATAATTTTTTAAAAGACAGCTATCTAACAGAGAAACACCAAGGTCCACACATAATGGACCAGAGCAGAGATGTAATGTCCCTGTTCTATAGATGTGAGCAGAACCGAACTAGATGTATTAACATATCTAAAGAAAAACATGTCCATCTACAGAGGGCTGGTCAGTACTGAAAGCATAGACAGAGCAAGGAAGAGCCCAGCAAGGGCAGTGACCACCTAACACTGTGCGTGAGTTGACATCGTGCCTCAGGCAGATGTGGGGTCGGGCCCAGGCAAGGCTGTGCCTGCAGGGAGATGGGTGAATCCAGCCACCTTAGCCTTTTCCATTAAACACTGGAGCCAGTTGATTCCTTTTGTTCTAATTCTGTTCTCACATTAACCTTCAGATTGTACTTCAGTGTGCCACAGAGACTCCTCTCTCCAGAGGGGTGATTCCCAGATTGTGTAGACACAGATGTTGTCTGTGCAATGAGATATATTTCTCATTGTCAAGTTGTAATCTAGCATTCTGATTTTTGTTCAGTCCTGTGATATTGATAAAGTGAGACTGCTCTGAAAGGGAAAAGTGAGCTCTCTCTTGGGGAGGACAAAGTCTAATTTCTGGATATAGGAGGCAGGGACCAGCCTGGTGTCAGCTTGCAGAGGCCTCCAGGTGTCATGTGGCCTTTTTTTTTTTTTTTTTGAACTTTCAACTACTATATTGCTTTTAGTTTCTGGATACAATTTAACCTTATCTTTGTATTTATTTGTATGTTTTTATTATTTCATTTCCCCACTGAGATGATAAGCTATATGAAGACAGAGAGCATGCAGTGTTTTACCTATAGTAGACAATAAAGGTGTTCAAAGGAAGAGAGAGATGAAGCATTATGTCAATTCCACTATGAGGAATAATACAACCTAATATTTCTTTGAAGTAGTAAGCAGAGTCCAGCAATAGACAGACCTGCATTCCTAAGACTTTTGAAATGTCACCTTTTAATATTTTAATCAGTGGGAGAAAATGAATAAATGCTAACAGAACAGCTGCCTAACTATTTGAGCGGTAAGTAATGGCAGATCCCTATTCTCACCTTAAATATATTTCAGCAAATGTAAAAAAAGAAAATGTAAAAATATTAGAGAAAAATAGAAGCAATATGTTTTATAATCTTGCAGTGGAGAAGAGCTTTCTAAGCCTGATATCACAGGCAGAAATCTTTGGTAGCTTTGCTTGTCTTGTCAGTGACATCACTAGCAAACTTAGCACTTAAATATAGCAAGCATGGGATGAACAGTTTTCCATGTATTGTATGATTTAATCCTCACAACAGTCTCATGAGGAGGATATTATCATCCCTCTTTACAAAGGAGACCAATTTAAGGCCCCTGTTGCAAAACCAAAAGCAGAACCCAGATTCCCTTGATGGCAAAGACTGCACACCTTGCTGCCACTCTGTTTTGCCTCCTTAAAGAAAGAAAGAAAGAAAGAAACAAACAAACAAAAAACACTGGGAAATATTTGAAACACTGAAGTACAATGAAAACCATTGGGAGGGTTAATATATTTAATACGAAGAATTTTATAAACCAGCAAGAAAAAGACAATCCAGTGGAGAAAGGCCCAAAGGCTGTGAAGAGTATGTAATTTATATTCTATGCCATAGCATCAGTGGCCCTAACCTGGTGGCTTAAGGGGTGTGAGTCATTAGAGGCCTTTGTCATTTCGTGGAATAGTCTGTAGAATATACTATAAAGCAAATGTACTTCACAGGGCCTGGTTTTGCAAAGCCTTGCTGTTTCAGATATTGACCTTGTAGAGGACTGGAAATTTTCCTCAGGCCATAAAGTCTCTGGTGTAAGATAAAGATTTGTGGCACAGCAAAGTTGCTGGCTCAAGGACAGACAGGTTACTGCTTGATATGTGTACATACTGAAAAATTGCTGGAGGGAGAAGGGATGTTTGCTAAGATCAAGCTTTTGTTGATAGGACCCCTTAATTGCCTTACTGAAATGTCATCTGGCTTGTTTCACTGAAAGTTACCAGCCTGTGTTGTTAAACTATAACCCCACCTATGTTCTCTTCCTGTAACTTCCTGGTCTGGAAAATAAATGCAGGAAGAGAACCCCAATTCAGCATTAATTTCCCAAGGAAGGAATGCCTCTCTCTTGAGGGTTCCAGGAGATTAACCAGTTCAGGGTCTCTCACTGCTGGGAAGAGATAGGCTTTGAGTAATTCTTTGCAGCTCCATCACCCAGGGGAAGTGGGATGACAAATCTGTGGGGGATGAGGCAACTCAAAGCAACATAAATCCACATGGGGGAGTTACTGCCATCAGCGTAGCTGCCAGTTCATTGGGTCGAGGACCTGACATTAATTCACAGAGATCAACAAGGAAGGTTGGGGCCCCA